AAATGATTTATTGCTACAATAATATAACAGTTTCAGGTGAAGTAAAGTGCGGCCAATTGTTGGCAATAATGGGCGCCAGGTTAGTATGAATTTGTTATAATCAGGGCAATTTTATATTTATTGAATTTTGGTTCAGTGGCTCCGGAAAGACAACACTTCTGAATGTATTGACGGCCACTAATCTATCAAAACTATCGGTGAGAGGATCGGTACTTTTGAATGGACAGGTAGTGAGTCCGGCAACGATGGCCTCTCTGTCCTCATATATACAACAACACGATTTGTTTCATCCGTTGCTTACAGTTAGAGAGCATCTCGTATTTCATGTACTAAATGTAATAGTCGTGTGATTGAAATTTTTAACCATATTTTTTAATTTAAAAGTCATTGTTGCGAATGAATAGAAGTTTTACACAAACCCAGAGAAACGCATTTATAAATCAGTTGATAGAAAAGGTATTTTGAATAGATTATGAAAAAATACTTCTGATTACAGATTGGTCATAGATCATTTGATAAAAATTAATATTTTTTAGTTTAATTTAACCAAATGTGTTGATAATAAAATTGGCGATAATATTGCGATTAAAGGTATTTCTGGGGGCGAAATGAAGAGATTGTCGTTTGCATCAGAGGTTTGTTTAATTATAAAAATGGTAGTTTTGTTGTTAAATTTATTAACTGCAACATCGATTTGTTTGACTGTTTATTTAGATTCTATCAAATCCTTTAATAATGTTTTGGTGAGAATTAAATAATAATTTCTATATTGAGTTTCAAAATTATTTGTCAACCAACTAGTGATGAGCCGACCACTGGTTTGGACTCATTTATGGCCCAAAACATTGTGCAGACATTGAAGACAATGGCATCGGAGGGACGGACTATACTCTGTACTATACATCAGCCCTCGTCTCACATTTTCGAGCTCTTCGAACATATATTACTTATGGCCGACGGAAGGGTAGCTTTTATGGGCAAAACGGGTTAGAAATTTTAGCATGTATATTTAATATTAAATTTTGATCTAATATTTTGGTTAAACATTTAGACGATGTAAAAAAATTCTTCTCATCACTTGGATTTGTAATGAATTAATTTTAATAATTTAAACAATTATAGCATTATAACTTTACATATATTTTTATTTATGTTACTAATTTATGTATAATAATAGATTTGCCCGAAAAATTGCAATCCAATCGACTATTATATTCGAGAATTGGGTATGTATTAAATGTATCGGCCAAACACTATAGAATGTTTGGTGTAGAATTCTATGTTAAATTTTTATATAAAAAAGTACAATGAGTATAACAAAATAATAGAAAGACTTTAAAAATAAATTTATAGTTATACAGCCGATAATATAATTTATATGTTTAATATTATATTTCATTATATTATTTATATCCAATAATAGCGGATGTATCCAATAATGGCAAAGATAATGTATGATATAATAAGATCCTACAAATTTTTTACGCAATGTGTTTTGATCACGATTTGTGAACAGTTAATATCACAAAAGTTGTCACTTCTCACATATGCATATAGATCCATAGCCGAAAGTTCTTTGCACATAAAAATATTTTGGTTCTATTGAATATACAGTATGTTGTGAAAGTGGACCATTCGCGGGATCCATGTTAATGCAAGCAGGTTTTGTGATAAGGGTTTGATAACAGCTTTTTACGGATTATTTAAAAACTATTGTGGTTATAGTGCTGAGGTTATAGTGCATGTCAATNATGTCAATGTTATCCTTACTCAGCCGAGTATTGCTAGGAAAACAACTGTGATACTTTAAGGCGTCATTATTGTAAATGTAAAGTGACAATATTGTCACTTATGCTATTCCCAAATTGTGACCGACACACATCACGGAAAAGATTATAATATGAATGTTAATCACAAACTATTGAAAATGAATTATAACTCATTATTAGGGAATTGTGTTTAACTATAGTAACTATTTTATGGGGTTAATTGTATTAAATGTAATAATTTATCATTTACATATTACCAAAATTATGATTTGTATTAATTTAAGGTTTTGACAAAAATAATTAAAAATATATAGTATAAAAACGTTAAATTAAATACAACACAGTGCTGATTCAACTCAAAAACAGTACTATTTAATTTATTAAAAAGTCAAACTGACATTTGCTAACATTTTATATAATAGTTCAGTATATTTTGTCAAATAATAAGTAATTATTTAAGCAACTATTTGGGTTGTTTTTAATAACTATTATAGTGACAATCTGGGGTCTTTTATTTAACTATACAGCAATGATTTGCTCACTATAAAAATTTATTGTTGCAATTATTATATCAAATCCTATTAATAAATTATCACATTAAAGTCTATCGCTAAGAATAGTTTACATAATTAACATTCATATAATATAATATTGTTAAAACCTTATATTATTATTAATAACATTTTTATAGCACATATGCGACAATTATTTAAACTCAAGTTATTCTAAACAAATGGCTAATAATAATTCAATTGAATGCCTAACTTTGCAAAATTCTAAAATCATGGAAACCAGAATAAAAATTCAATGTTCTCAATATGAATATGGCTTTTGGAGACAAATGCGTGTCCTATTGTGGCGCTCATACTTACTAACCATCAGAAATCAAACCATTTTAAGGTCACAGTTGCTTTCTCTTGCGGTATGTTTTTACTTGGTTTAAATCTAAAAGGCCATATACAAAAATCAAGTTCATTTTTATCTGCGATTTCTCGGAAATAGTTGGAGTGACACCATTAAAAGATAAATCTTTATCAAGTCACAATTTATTAGAAAATGGATTGTTTGCATGACCAATACACCTTTATATGTGAAAAGTGACAATTGTGTCACTACAACTGTTCCCTAGGAATTGCAAAACAAATGAACCAAATATTTGTAAATAACCTTTTAGTATTTTACGTTAACATATAATTTTTATATAGTTACATTTTTACAAATGGATTACGATTTAAAACTATAACATATGCGTCATTTTCGATATGAATTTAATTTTTATAAAATGCTTATACAATTGTATATACAATCTAAAATATAATTTGGCAGCTTTCATTAAAAAGCTGTTATTTTTTTAAACCTAGTTTCTACTATGATAAATTTTCATATCATACATTACAAAATATTACCCATAAATTATTAAACTAATGCCACCCACCACACTCGTTTTCATAACGACACATTTGAATGCGTTATTATAATAATAAATTGATTATAAAGTATGTCGCCATATAATGTGGGCAAATACATGATCATGCCCGACCTGTTTAGTGATGCTCAACACTACATGTATATAAATTATAAGTAATGTGAATATTCATTTGATTCATTAAAATTATAGGTAAATATATTTATTTATGGATCACTTTATTATAAACAATATCCCGTGTCGTCCGATATAACAAACATTAATGGTGCAATATTTATTACCCTATATTATATAACGTCCAACTATTCAATGTTGTGTCTTGAGGTCAAGTCAATTTTGGATCACTTTATTATAAACAATATCCCGTGTCGTCCGATATAACAAACATTAATGGTGCAATATTTATTACCCTATATTATATAACGTCCAACTATTCAATGTTGTGTCTTGAGGTCAAGTCAATTACAATTATAAAAATACGAATTTATATTATTTGTTAAATTAAAATTAATACATTGTGTAAACAGGTATTCTGTTCTGGAATTCCATTATTGATTCGCGAAAATCGAAATCGGATTTATGCAGTTTTACCGTATTTTATTGCCACAATATTTTACCAGGTATTTGAACAATTATTTTAATATTTTAAAATATTGTATTAAAACTATAAAAAAAACAAATGTGCACAATTATTAAACAACAACAAAAAATAGCTTATAATTATAGAAAATACAAAAAAATGGACCACATATTGTGTATAGGCTTGCCAATTCAATTTGCCGCATTCCTTGAAAATTTCAAGAATTCGCCTTGACATTTCTATTGCAGATTTTAAAGGGAATTTGTCTTGTTTTTAGTAAAATTTACATAAATATATTATTTAATATTTGTCCACTTTTCTATCAAAAAGTTAATTATTTTAAATACTTTTATATTTAAAATGTGTTTACTTTATACATGCTAATATTTTGTTTATTACTAAACAATGCATTGTAAAGTTAAATAAAATGTTTGCATACAGTACAATGAAAGACCCTCGCTTTACACCTTGACAAAACCCTACATTTCTTGACAATCAAGGCAAACCTTTACGTGCTGGCAAGTTTAATTGTGTATACCACGTGACCAAAATATATTAAAATAATACACAATAAATGCTTTTTATAGAAGCAGAGTATCTCATATTGTTTAAAAGATATAACCGAAACATTGTACTAAAAATGTTATTATTAATACCCGCGTTTATATATGAAAGTTTGCGTCGGGTAATTTATGGTTTATCCCCATCCTATGGAATCTGTCATGGAATTTCATTATAATTTTATTTTTATACTTTAACACCATATACGATAACATGGAAACACTTTTTTTTATGATAAATGCATTTACTTGATATTTTGTTATTATAAATTTATAAGGCTATATTTTAGATCAGACAATGTTTAGCAATAATACCACTGTTAACAACATCAATTTTGTAAACGATTTTATACTTAATGGTAATTCTAATCTATGTGATTGCCAGTAAATTTATGGCAATGTTAAATTTTTTTATAAGCATATCCCGAATTGTTGTTCGGCTATAGCACATCATTTGTTATCAATATTATTAAATAATATTTCTAATATATTTTAACAGATGCTGTATTACATGATATTGTGTTCGTTATTGACATTAATACTCTACTATTTGATTGGCCTAAATTCCGAACCGAGAGTATATTTTACATATATTGCTATTAACCTGGTATATGTATTTTGCACGTCTAGTATTGGTAGTGATATATTGTTTGAATATTTTACTTTCGTTTAACATCATTATTTCGATTATTTCTTAACACCAGGTTATATGTTTTCGACTATTAGTCCGGACATTTTTACAGCACAATTATTACTTGCACCAATTCTTATCATAATGTTTTTCTTTGCCGGGTTCACATTAAACGTAAAGTATGTATACATTTTTTTATTTAAATTTGCAAATTTCACCTAAACTAATCATGTTCTAAAATAAGCTCGATTCCCATTTGGTTAAACTGGTTAAAATATTTAATATATATGCACTATGCATATGAATCCCTTATTGTAAATCAATGGCAAACAATTAATGAAATTGCATGTTTGAATGGCAGTCAATCGATAGGACAATGTTATGGCAATGGACTCAATGTTATTAATTCTCTGGGCTTTCATGAAAAGAACATATTTTGGGATTCGATTGTATTGTTATTAATAAGTTTTGTATTTCTATTTTTGGCATTCGTTGGTTTAGTTATTAAAACAAAACATTATTAAAAATATTTTAAGCATAAGCTTTAAATGTATTCGAGAAAACCAACATTTTCGCCTTATAAATTTTTATGAGAAGTGAAAGGTATTGATTAACTTGATTTAATACGTGTTTCAGGATTTTCTATATTGAGGTAAACATTTTCTATTGAATGTGTTGTAAATGTTTCGCTAATATTATATGTTGTTTATGTAATACTTTAACTATATATTTTATATGAAAATAAACAGTGAACTTTAATGAATTAATATTAATAAATAAGCAATTTTATTATTATAATGAATACAATAGTTAATTGTTAAACAAACCATATTGTTTGCCGTCGATAGCATCAATACATGCCATACTTGGCCGCCCGGGCGCATACACCACACCAGAATTGTGATAGCATCGGTGCATCGAGTGATCTTTTTAAATCAGCAAAATTTTAATTAATTTAAGTATCTAATAGTAAAAGTCACAAAGATATTGCCGTCTCGGAAATATGTTTCACATTTCATTGAATT